AAATCAGCATTTCGAGCTGAACGCGCTCGTAGAAATCGCAGCGCCGTGAGCAGAAATACTCAATTCGGTGTCTGGCCAATACCGTGCATGATTTGCAGTACGTTGTAATTATATCGCGCGTATAAGACACGCGATAAAACGCGCCAGTAGATTCAGATATAAACTGTAGTCAGTGCGAAAGAACGAGTAATATCGAAAATATTAAAAAAAATATGTAAAATATTACTGCAGAAATGTATTAAAGAAGTAAAAGAACGACACAATACCAATCAAAATGTGAAAACTGTTAAAATAAAAAAAAAAAGAAAATTAGAAAAATTAAAATTTTAAAAAGAAAAGAGTCTAAAATATAAAAGTCATAAATAATAATAATACCGCAATCACGTATAGAATCTAATAAACTGTGACATTTAAGATTTATATAATTAAAGTAATTACACGTCTCACATCTTTTTACGTGATCAGGTATAATAGTTATATATAATTGTCTATTAACAGCATCGAAGCCGCTTATCTTTCCGCAATCGGAAGAAACGGCGCGGTATAAATTTGCATTTGTATGACCGCGCGAAATTAATTGATGTGTCTGGAAATGGCGGGCTGCCCAGACACGGACGGTATCACGGCACATCGTTGGCTATCAATAATAATTCGTAACTATTATTAATCGAACGCGCAAGAAACGTGAGATGAGGTAGGAGCGAGGCGCGGTTTCCGGATACGCGACGGTGGAGCGTGACGGCGCATAATTGCGAAACGTTAATCGGTTAATTAATAAGTAAATATCTCTACAGGGCGCAACGGCCGTTAATAATTGGCGAGGGACGCGCCACGTGAACGATACACGGATGATTAATAATAATGTAATCTCGCGCTCGCTCGCTCGCTCGCTCGTTCGCGCTCACTCGATGCGTTTAATGGCGCCCCTGCTGGCACGCAATTCGAAATCGCGTGGGCACCCGGCGCTGACTGTGTCAGGAATTGTAATCCGTTTTCGTAGGAATCTCTCTTCTATATTTCCGTGCGTCCGAATTATCCGCACGGAAATGCCGCCCGAACGACGTAATCCTAGCACCTCCTCTCGATCAGGAAATTCGCTAAGGTGTCGCAGATATTGACAACAATTTTTCGATTGATGGAAAAGTAGTAGTACATCACATCTTTATTTCTCTAACAGCTTTGGAATCCGCCTCACAATATTAATATATGTCATGGCACAACCGAAATAAGAAAGCGATATTGTAATATAATAATCTACACATATTTTTTTAATGTATCAGCAAATAAGTGGAGTGAAAGAAATCCATTGATGAAACTGTGTGTTCAGGCACAGAGTCGATGATGACAGCGCAATTACTCTCCCTAATTTCTTTGAAAGAGCGAACGTAATATTAATCAATTCTCCCCGAAAGTGTTACATAATTAAAGAAGAAGTGCTGTTAACGTGATACTCGTCGATACACTTCAGTCTATTACTTCAGTCGATTATAATCGATGACTGCTGAAAGAGGCTCAGCCTTCCTCTCTCTAGTGTGGCAAATCTTTTCACTTTCAACAATTTGATGACGGCGTTAAATAAGTTAAGTATAAGTATAGTTTATATAATTCATCGGGATAATCCTTACATCAGCAATCGATACGCTATGTCTCTGGGATAGTCGCTTGTAACGAATAAAGTGATCAGTTTTCGAACGAATCATCGCACGTGACCATGTGACATAAATCCTAGAACTATTCCAAAATGTGAGAACTAGTCCAGAATGCAAGAGGGATCTCTTGCCCATTCGTGTCCCAGACGATCCCAGAGGGTGGCAGCAATATTCCCGATACCAAGGATGGTTTTCACCCCTGGCTTCGGGAGACGCTCACCAGGTGGCGATACCTCTCGGAGCGGAGGACCATAATGGCCGCCAAGGCCATCATGCTCCGCCTCTGGTGAACGCCAAGCACCGCCCAGATGGTTTCCCGGGTAACCATCCAGACCGGCCATTTTGCCATCGCGACCTACCACAACCTTTTCCTACGACCATGGACGAATGGTCTCTCCCTCTCCACCATGCCTGACCCCCTTCCAGTTCTAAGCGTCATTCTACTCCCCCTCATCCCTTTTTGTCTTCCCACTACCAGACAGCTCCAAGCATGGTATTAGACTCGCGCTTATTCCAGACGGAGATTGGACGGCTTCGTTCCACTAATCATCGTTTGCTCTGGACGATACTCGATAATTAACCATAATAATGGAGAAAAGAGAAAGCTTATAGAAAAAAAAGTAATTTAAAAATTTTTAATCTCAAAAAGAATATTTTCGATTAAAAACAAGAGTTCTTACTTAGTGTTATTTAATTTTAATTTAAAAAGCTGTCAAAATTTATATATTTTAATGAATAAATAAAATGATTATCTTATTCCATAAAAAAAAAGGTTGGACATTTAATAATTAATAATTAAAATTTAGAAAAATTTAGATATGTTTGATACTACACACGCGCGCGCGCACGCGCACATATAGGATGTCTTATAATTCGCGACGCAAATCTCTGATCATTCACTGTTGTTAGGCAAGATGTTTGCAAATGTTATTTACAAATGATGAATTCGTTTAGTGCACACCTTTCCTGAGTATCTTACCGCATGCCTAGCAACTGTGAACGTGCGTAATATTAAGCTCTTCTTTCGTATGCTTATTCGCAGATTTTTAT